TAATAATAATAATAATAATAATAATAATAATTTTAGCGACATTTTTAAGTACAGCCTAAGACAGAAAAGTGTCTATGCCGGTTCACGACTTCGTACTCCCAATATTCGGTATTTAACCGATCTTAGCGTCATTATTCACCGGAGTAGGTCCAGGTCTTCGTATAGGCCCCATATATCAGTACCTCTCTATATGCGGTATTTTGACGATACAATTCAATACTCACCGAAATTATTTAAGATGTCTTATTTGAAATTCGTAGTGGATGCTATAGCCTGTGACAGGAAATTGTCTGTGCAGGTCCAGGTCTTCGTATAACTCTGATATAACGGTACCTCCCTACCAGCATTTATTTCTTGTTTCGAATTTGAATATGATAACGGCTTATGACAAACAAACAACAGGTTCACGTCGCAATTTTTAAGATTTTAACAGGATTTTTAATGGATTTTATTTTTTGAAAATTTCTAAATTCGTTGGAAATTTTGGAGGGTATTCAAAGTTTGGCCCGGAACTAACTGCTTTTTAAGTCAAGAATTGTCACCCTCTGTTAGGGAGGTACCAGAAGTAGTGAACCGATTTATACCATCTTCACACATGAGCTTCATGGTTATGACCTGACATGTTCCATCCATCCCACCTGATCTTGTGTTCATGGAAATATTGGGATGTGCGGAGGTTGATAGTAATCGGTTGCTCATTTCGCGATTTATGGGCTTCATATTTATTAAAAATGTTGAAACCTTCGTAGGGGAGGTAGCAGAATTGTGGACCGATATCTACCACCTGCACATCAGTTCTTGTTTTGGTGGAAATATTGAGATGTGCTAAAGTTGTAGACAATGGAACTTTTACTTCATATTTTACAAGAATTATAATTATTCGACATTTTGTCACTCTGTGGGGGATGTACTTGATGGAATGGACCGATATTGTCCTTTTTTACACATGTCCTATTATAAATATTGGAATTAGCAAAGTTAGAAGAAAATAGGATGATCCTCTCCTTTTCTATGAAATAAAATATATTCTTTGAAAATGCTGACTTTTTGTGAGGTTACCAGAAGAAGTGGACAGTTATTGCCTAAATTCGATCTATGTGTGAGAATAATACGACGATGTACCAAGTTTGGACCACCACACATACTCCTTTCAAGAGCTATCAAGAGCCAGCCAGCAAGGAAAAAACCGCCAAGAAACCTTTTCTTTACAAGCATTTCTAAAAGGATTTTCTTTTTGCAATCGGAGGATATGAAAATTTTTGCCCTTAAAATAAATATCCTCTCTGGAAAATATTTTGTAATTTTATCTTCTTGAATTCTTTGCCTTTCTGGACCTAGGAAAGGACCTATAAAATCATCAACGAAATATAATTTTTCTAAAGTTTTACTGGGAGTAAAATTGATATTAATTTTCAACCGTACAGGGTGCGTATACTTTATATGCCTTTTAAAAACATTCATACTCATTTTTTAAACATATAGTTTGAAATTTGTAGATAAGCCTATCATAACTTAATTTATTTAAGTGTGGGAAAATAATCCTTTAAAAAATCCGTTTTTGCAAAATATTACAAAAGACAAAAATGTCATTCAAGCATTCTAACGATTTTTGCACTTACGTTGAAGGACCATTTTGGATAATATTTTCTAACTTTATCTGCTTGGATACTTTATTTAGCGAAATTCGGGGCCTAGGTAAGAACCTATAAAATAGACCCCACATACGTTATATGCCTTGTTGAAAATTTTCATACCCATTTAAGATTTATTCACACATATTGTATAAAACAAATTATAAATATAAATCCTATCAGAAGAAAGTTAAAAAAATATTCTTGGAGAAAATTTTTTCCTTACAAAAAGTTCTAGAGACAATGGAAACAACTTTTCGCAGACAAGCTCACATCATTGTTTTGCGGTCTAGGTAAACGAGCTCTTTGAATACGGAATTTTAAATTATATTTCTTCGGATCCTTTGTCTATCGCGATTCTGGTCCCCTTCAAGGCCCTACAATATTATACCCACAATTTTTATTTCTAAATTTAATTCTAAAGTTTCTGGGTGCGTATAATTAATATTAATTTCAGTACACAGTACATGGTGGTATGGTGCGTATACGTTATATGCCTTGTTGAAAATTTTCATACGCATTTTACATTCTTTCTCACATGTATTGTTTATAACAAATTCTAAATATAAATCATGTCATGAGCAATTTTGAAAAAAAAAAAAAACAAATTCTTCAAGAAACTTTTTTTTCTTTAAAAACATTTTTCTAAAGACAAAAACCAACAACTTTTGCAAGCCAAGCACACACATATTTTTTTCACTTTAGATAATGCCATAAACATACCTAACTTTTGGTGGATGCCAAAAGACAACAACAGGGGAAATGATGTTTTGTTGTTGTTGTTGCCATTTATTTCCACTTGGTGTCATATTCACTGACACATTAAATACTTTTCGAATTGTTTTATATGGAAAAGTGAACACGCGTAG